CATGCTCAGGGTTTTTCGCACGAGGTAGGGATGCGGGGGGGGCTACAAGAACCGCTACCAAACCTTCACTTTGGGGTCAGGATTCCTGGTGTGCGCCGCCTCCTCCTGCTCAGCCTACGGTAGCCGAAGCACATTCAGTCCAAACCCCAGGCGGTTCCCAGACTTAACACCCCAACCAGACCTCAAGCGGCACCCTGACGCTTAAACGAAATCACGAGCTCCCAGGCAAACAACAGACGCCGACCCCATAGGTGTTCTTCGGCGTGTGAGGTACCTCCCCCCTGAACTCCTCCTCTGGGGGCTCGGTTCGGCCCAGGCGAAAGGGGGGGAATAGCAAAGGGGGGGGGGGAGAATCAGCTCATGTCAGAGTGAAGGGGCCCGAACGGTCATTCACTGTCCCTGGGTGCGTGGCTGAAGTGGGGATCCACGGCGAGGATTCTTGTTGTTGCTTCGTTGTTGTTTTGTTGCGTCGTCACCCCACCCCGCTCCACGACCCGCCCGCGACCCACCCGCGACCCACCCGCGACCCACCCCGCGACCCACCCGCGACACATCCCGCGACCCACCCGCGCGACCCACCCGCGACCCACCCACGACCCACCCCGCGACCCAACCCGCGACCCACCCGCGACCAACCCGCGACCCCCAAAAAAACTGCACAGCAAAAGAAAACTCCAGTGCAAGAAAACTGCACTTTGGTCGTTGTCGAGCATCGGACCCCACTGAAGCCACCGACCGCAGTCGCAGCACATCTTGAGTGGTGATCAGAGCTTCCTTCATGGGGACACGTGATCGGGAGCGGCCAAGAGGGGGGTGTCCAAGGGGGGGGTGCAAATCATGGCCGGCGGCATGTGCGCGGCCCAGGGGGGGGCCGGGGACGTAACAAGAAGAGGCGCCATGAAATCTACGGAGATATCATGGCCCGCGCCATGATATCCCCCCCCCCCTAGTCATCGCCCCCCTCTTTTCCGCCCCCGACGTGAGCGACGCAAAGAAGTGTGCCTTACGCGGGAAGACCCTGCGACTTCACCCTGCTGCCGACGCGGGCCGCCAGCACGACAGGCTGCGCTCGAAAGGAGGGCGCTTATTGGAGACCTGGAAACTGGCACCAACACCAACACAGGGGGGTCTCCGCAGGGGGAAGGCGATCCTCGATTTCGGTGTTGGTGGTAATAGTTCGGTCACCTTGGAAGCCATACTATTACCACCATCGCCAAGATCGGGGTCTTCTTCCCTCGGTGGAGGCACACCGCCGAGATTGGTGTTGGTGTCCACCTCTAGGCCTGCGAGCTCACGCGCGCTCCCACGCAGGCAACCTGCGCGCGAAGGTCCGCGCGGCCGACCCCCGCTCCATCCCGTCGCTCCTGCCCTGGGCCGCCCTCGCTCCCGCCCTCGCTCCCTCCCCGGGGGGCTCGAGAAGCACCTCCCCGAGGCCTGCCAAATTGATGTTCTGTGCGGGCAATGTCTATATCCACATCCAGTGCGTCTTGAAGTTTAGGACTCTCTTCCCAAGAAACATGAGGCGCACTGGATATGGATTATAATCTGCCTCCAAAAGGGTCGATTGTTATCCATATCCAGTGCGCCTCGGCCTTGCGGCGCCCCTTCCAAGAAAGTCCAAGACGCACTGGATATGGATATAAATATTGCCCACATTCTGCACTACGCGTCGGTCGGAAGAAGAAGGCTAAAACATGAAGTGGGAAGGCGGATCAGGTCGAGTGGGTTCAGGCCCTCCCAGATAAGGACAAAACACAGCAAAAGCACATCCACCCGGGGATCCAACACTACCCGCTTTCAAAGACCAGCGTGTACGCCGGGGGGGGGGGGTATCGGCAGTGGGCTCCGGCGAGCGCACTCATGTGTACGAAGCGCGTCGGGCGTTTTCACCACATTCGGAAGGTGATGTTGAGGCGCCCAGGCGGCATGCGGAGCCACCCCTGGCGGCTGTCGCTCCGGATGCCCGCCACGCAGTGCTCGACCTGTCGGCTCGGGCCCCCGAAGACGAGGACGTCCCCGGATCGCAGGCAGACGCCCCGCTCCTCGCCAGAGAGGGCGCGGTAGTGGAAGGTGCTGGCGTCGCCGACGGACACAGAAGAAGAAAAAACGTCACATGCATAAACTCGTTGAGCTCCGCTTGGGTCGTGCATGTCCCCCTACAGGCAGCTTTTGAAGGACAAGTAAGAAAGAGCCCCCCCAAAAGAAACCAAAAAAATAGCCGAACGAACAAAAACAGAAAATCGTACCCAGAATATTTCCCGGACTGTTGTTTAACATTCCTCCTGTAGAGGCACGTGCCCGACTGAAGCATAAACTCTTGGAACTCCGCCGGGATTTCCTGGCTCCGCGCCGAGACCCTGCCTGGCGCGCGCCGAGCGCGCCAGGGGGGCGGCGCTGGCAGGGGCCGGCCCAGCGCGGACCCGAGAGCACTCCGCGCAGAGCGCCGGAAGAGCACGGCTGGCGCTGCCAAGACAGCGTGCAGCATCGACCTCGGGAAGACACGCCACCCCTGCGATCGGTGGCGAGCTCGGGGGGAAGTGAGCGGGAGGAGGCCCTCTCAGAAGGCGGCGGGACTTCTCAGAGAACTCCTTCTCGCTTCCCCCCCCTCGCTCGCCGCCAGCGTGAGGCGCTCCCCCCGCGAGGGCCCGCTCCTTACCAGCCTGGAACAAATCCCTATCCCTATGTTGGGCATCGCCTCATCACGATGGCGATCTTAGTGACTTCCTCAGTTTCTGAGGGTGTATCCCTAAGATTGTCATCTCCATTTAGCGTGTCAATCTTAGGGATAGGGATAAGTTCGAGGCTGGTGAGCTCCGCGCGCGCCACTCCCCCTGCTGTGGCGTCCTCGGCACACGCTGCCCCCAGAGCGACGGGGGCCGGCGTCGCACAAGCTCGGGTGTTGCTAGAAGTGCCCCTGGCCCAAGGTGCCCCCAGGATTTCCAAGGATGCCCCCACGGCCTCCAGAGCAACCCTCACGAGGATCAGAGGGTCCCAGGGGCTCCAACATTGAGCGACAAGCTGGGGGTACCTTGGGCCAGGGGCACCTTTCGCAACCCCCGACAAGCGGGCCGAGGGCGCCAGGGGTAGCACACCGCCGCCGGCAAGAGCTGCCTCCACGTCCGCTGCGCCGCGGAGCTCTTCGGGTCCCCATCCCCAGACACCAGGAGAGGGCGCAGGCGCCGCCCATCATGCTTGTGACCCTCCGCCTCCTCCGCTTCCTCCTCCTCCTGCTCCTCTCTCCTCTCTCCTCCCTCCTCCCTCCTCCTCTTCCTCCTCCTCCTCCTCCTCCTCCTTCTCCTCCTCCTCCTCTTCCTCCTCCTCCTCCTCCTCCTCCTCCTCCTCCCCCTCTTGCCGCCGCCTTAGTTCCAGCCGCCCGCCTCGCCATCCGACTGCCGCTGCGGAGGCGACAGAGAGACCTGCTGGAGGCATCCGTCCTTCGGCAGATTGTGGTTTCGAGCCGAGAATCTGGCCCTGGAGGCCAGAATGCTTTGACCAGACAGTCGACCCGTATCATAAGGATGCACGATCAGGATGGAAGGACCTTGGAAGGTCGTTGCGAAGCTTTGCGTGCGGGGCGCGGCCAACGAAAGTGGCCAAGGATGGGCCGAGGAGGCAAGGATGCAGGAGTCCCCTTGGGAAAATTGCCAATACTTGCTGTGCGGCTTGGCTGTATTCACTGCGCGGCTGCCTTGTGGCGCCCCTTCTTACAAAGACCAACGCGCAGCAGATGTGGAGATGCACCTTGCCCACAGCCATCTTTAGGGTAACTAAGCATGAAATATAAACATAAAAACTCGGAGATCCGCGCGGACTTCTCGGATCCGCGCTGGACCCCCCTGGCGGCGCCTCCGGCGCCGCCCCTGGCGCGCACCGCGCGCCAGGGAGGGGGGCCCAGCGCGGGCCCGAGATATCCGCGCGGATCTCCGAGTCTCTCTGTTTGTGTCATTCTTCGTGCCCCTAGCCGAGTGCATGCTTATGCCGGCGTTTCCTCGTCGCGGACAGCGACACCACGGCGCTGCCCTGGGCCTCCTCGCGCGAGGCCTGCGGCGGGTCCGTGTCCGCGTCGGCGTGCCAGCCCATGCCGCGGGACCTGCCGCCGTAATAGTTGAAGACGGCCACGGAGGCCGGCGCGGCGCCGCAGAGCCCGGAGCGCTGCACCTGCGACGGAGCCGGGACAAGGGCAACATGTGAGCAGGGGCCGACCGTCCCAGCATTCCTACAGGCCTACCACGACATGTTCCTAGAATCCCAACATGTTCTTCTAACATCCAAAGAAAGGTTCTTAGAACATGAGCCCGATACGCGAAAACAAAACAGTCTCAGACAGAAATGTTCTGAGCGCATGTCGTGCAGACCACAACAAATTCTGAGAAGATTATTTGGTGGGCCTAAAGGCGAGCCAAAACGCTTCGCCACTGCTTGAAACGTCGGGAAGGGGTGAAGCGGGAATCTCTGAGATCCAGCGGGTTCTGGAGGATGCATCGGGTGCCGCGGCCTCCTCAGAGCGTTCCGGAACGCTCCGAGAGCGCTCCGGCGCGCTTTGGAGCGATATCATCCCTGTGGCGGCCCCGCCCAGGCACCTCCGCCTGCAGCTGCCGGTGGAGAACCTGGAACGCTGGGGGTAGCTCCGGGAGCTCCTCTGGCAGAGGCCTCCCGGATGGGGCTCGAGCAGATATGGGGTCCGAGGATCGCGCCGCAATGCATCGGCGACGTCGGCGTGGAACAAATCGGCCCCACATCGAGCCGCATCGCCGATGCGTCGGCGATGCGGCACGATCCTCCGACCCCATACCTGATCGAGCCCCCCCATCTGGGTGTCCTCTTCGATCCTCCACGTACTGCGCCCGGTGCCCGTAGTTCAGCCAGGGAGGCCCCTTGGGCCTCCACTCGAAGCACCCGAAGCCGCCCCGAGCGCCGCAGTCGCCCACGCTGAAGAAGAGGTCGGCGAGCCACTGCTGCGCGGCGGCCGTCAGCAAGCCTGGGAACAGCGCCATGCCGTCCTACGACACCCGAGGCCACGATTCGTACAGTCGGACCTAAGATCAGGTCGGGCGCGTCCTCCTACAGGCGGATTTTGGATCAAAAAACGCACGACGTAAACCTATGACAGAAGAACACCCCCCAAAGAACATGAGACCCTCCGCCGGCCAAAACACGATACAGAGCATGCAAGGGCACCCTCCCAAGGACGCACAACAATATCTGGCAGACACGAAGAGCTTTAGGGCATTCTCCCCGGACCGCCCGCGATCTTACCGTCACCTCGGCCCGACCGTACGTGACGCGGGCCCGCGGACCTCTTCGTGACCCCTCTCGGGGACCAGTCAGTGCCACTTCTTGTCACCGCCCTGGGTCCCGAAACGGGCCCCCCGAAAAGGTCAGAGGGCAGAACGCCCTCGACCCGCAAGTGTCCTGCGGCGACGGACGCCTGGGAGCCTCCCTCTCCAGACGCCGACCTGCTGGACCCCTCCCCGGGGGTGCGCCCGGGCCCGAATCTCGAGGCGCACCTGGCCGCCGCGACGAGGAGCCGCCTGGAGGCCCACGACAAAAGACCTCAGGAGCGTACTTGAACCGCTCTCCTCGATGCTGCGGGGGCAGGCAGGGGGGGGGACCGGCTCAGAGGGGCGAACACCTACCTGGAATCGGCGATGCCTCGCGATCGGCGATACAGCTACTGCGGTGGGGGGCGAGAAGGGGACGAGGGGGAGGAGGAGGAGGAGGAGGAGGAGGAGGAGGAGGAGGAGGAGGAGGAGGAGGAGGAGGAGGAGGAAGGAGGAGGAGGAGGAGGCAAGGAGGAGGAGGACGAGGAGGCGGAGGAGGAGGAGGAGAAGGAGGAGAAGGAGAAGGTGATGGGCCCCCGATGGCCAGAGCCGCTCGATCCCAGGCAGAGGGCGGGCCGTCGGGCCCCGCGCCGTGGCTCGCTGTGGGGCGCTGTGTGAGCGCTGCTCGGCGCTGCTGGGCGACAGTGGCCGCCATGGAGCGCCGTTGGGCGCTGCAGGGTAGGTTTGAATATATTGGATTTTTAATACATGCATAACTCCTCCTTGCATTCATAAGTTAACACAAGTTTGTACATGATTAATACATGATTAATTTATGAATAATTGTGAGAATACATGACGCATGTGCATTACTCATAAGTTTAGTACATGATTAATTTATGAATAAACTAATGCATGAACTCATCCTCGTATGTATCAATCAACCCTTTATTCCAGATACATGGTCCGCACGCGGAGCATGTATTAGAAACGGCGCTGCACTCTTTTTGGACCCCCGAAATGGGCACGGACTGAACGAGTACAATGCCCAACAACAAATGTGATATCCCCAACCAACAGCGGCCACTGCCGGGCAGGCGGCCTCCTGTCTCAAGTGGGCACGGGCCGCGGCGACACCGGCAGCGAGTCCTGTTCGAAACGAGCAGGAACCGCTGTTGGGCACTGTACCCCTTCTTTCCGTACCCATGTTTCGTTTGTGCCGACGATTCGCCGATACGCACGCCATCCAAGACGAGCGGCAACCTCAGTGATTCATCATCCGTACCCTCGAGTCGAGCCCGCCTGCCTCGCTGCTCGCGCTCACGCCCGTGCCTGGCCCCGACGCCCCTCCCCTCCCTCCCCCCGCCAGACAGCACACGACTCGCGCCGACGCCGCCCGAGAGCTATAGCCATCCTCTGAAGCACTCCTGGAGGGCGTCGGCGCGGATCGTCGCGTGGCCGCCCCCCTCCCCTCCTTCCCCCTGGTCTTCTGTTGCTCCCATCGTATTTGAAGGGCCACATCCCAGAAATGATTTCGAGCACCCGGAGGAGTGTCGAAAGAGTGTCGAAAGAGTGTCTTTCAGGGCCTGACACGTGAAAACCCTCGAGATTCGCTATTGTTTCTGGTGCTCGAGATTCTTTCTGGTAGTCAAGGCTAAAGCAGGTTGGAACATCATAACCCTGGTCACGCCCGTTATCGCCAGGGGATGGACAAAAGGGTATCGATCCTCCTCGAGCCTTGCTCCTGTCCGCGACGAGACGGAAGAAGAGAGAACGCCATGAACATTGAACGTTTGGCGCTCCGCGCGGAGTTCTTGGATCTACGCTGGACCCCCCTCCCCTGGCGCGCGGGGCGCGCCAGGGGCGGCGCCGGAGGCGCCGCTGGGGGTGGCCCAGCGCGGATCCAAGAAAGCCGAAAACCGCGCGGAGCGCCAAAAGTTTACGTTGATGGCGTTTTTGCTCTTCCTCGATCATCGCCAGGGGATGAGACAAAAATGTATCGATCCTCCTCGGCCCTTGCTGTTGCTGCCCGCCACGTGAGGCGTTCGTGTCCTGCAGCCGCTGGGGCTCCGCGTCCGCCGCGAGGCCCGGCGCTGGCGGCGCCCACCTCCTGCGGCCCCGGGGGATGTCTTGCAGCAGCAGGGGCCGCCGACCACAAGAAACCTTCCACGAGAGAGCCAGCCCCGAGACCCCAGGTGAACATTTTTTTATTCGGCGTGTCGACATTGGGCGGAGGGAGGGGTTCTAGCGCCGGACCTCTGCTTAGTGCGACTATTTGCAGCAGTACGTCCTATGGGGGGAAACTCCACCTGCTCGAAACAGGCGCCAACAAAATCAACCAAGGTCTGCTCCGTTGGGGGGGGAGGGGGGGTTGGGGGCCCGCGCCGATCGGCAAAACAATAAGAAAACGATCACCAGTACGTCCATCGATGTTTGGTGTGGGATCGTCACGCGTTCCATGGCAAGACCCTCGAAGCCTCGAAGCCCAAGAGACCAAGGGCACCCTGGTTCCACAGGTGTGTCTTCTCAAAATGTTCCCCGACCTCCCCACCACCACTGGGAATGGGGGGCAGCGGAGGCCTTCGTCGGTTGGGTTGAGGTGGTTTGGTGGGCGGTGGCTTCACTCGTCGTGGGACCATCTTGAACCATGCTGGGCCTTCTGACCGCTCTCGGGGGCTCTCTTCAGACCCAAATGAGCGACGATCAAAAACGGGTCTTACGCGAGATGACGTAGCGACCTTACGCCGCGGCTTGCGCGGGCCGCTGACGCGGCACGCTACATCAGAGACGAAGGCGCTTACGCGCGACCTTACGCGGGCAGCTTACGTGCCAATGTCGGCGCAGACGACCCCGTTTTTTTGGCGTCGCTCAGATGGGGAATGGGAGGTTTGCTTGAGGAGGAGGAGTAGGAAAGAAGGAGGACCTCCCCAGCCTCCCTTTTCCCCCATGCTAAATATGGCAGTGCAATGCTGGCGGAGAATCGGCCCGTCACCGAACCTCGAGCCCCGAACCCTTCACAACGCTGCACCCCCGCCTGCCCCTTGGACGCCCGAGATGGGCACGGAGAACATGGGCACAACGCCCAACAACGAATGTTGTCGAATACCGACCGCGGCCGCTGTTGGGCAGGCGGCTTTTTTTGTCTTCGCAGAACTACGCCCGCGGATGTTCAGAATGAACAGCAACCGCTGTTGGGCACCGTACCCATCCTTTCCGGACCTATTCCCAGACATGCGACGCCCTGATTCTCTCAGGACGGCGTCCCCGGAAGTCCAGACCCCTTCCCCGGGGCCGGCTTCTCCTCCCGAATCGTTTCTTGACGGCCCCGGGGCCCGGCGAGGGCCTCTGGAGGCCGCAAGCGGCGAAAAACCTCCGTCCCGAATTTTTGTTTTCGACGGGATCCTGACTGTCGGCGACCCCGAAGGGTGTGGATTGCACAGGGTGTGGTTTGCAACCGGCACCCCGAGGGGCACCCTAGGGGGCGGGCGAGGACCTCAACAGAGCTCTCCGCCGCGCCCCGAGGAGGCACGACGAGGACAGTGTCGTGCCCCCCAGGCCCCGACGGTGCCGATCGCAAACCACAACCTGGCGTAACTATACCCTCTGCAGTCGCCGAGCCTGGGTGCCGACCGCCCCGCAGCCCCTCCTGTGCCGCGGCGCCCCGGCGGGCGCCCCGGGCCCCCGCGGCCCCGCGGCGGGCGCCCGCGGCCAGGCCGGCAGCCGGCCGGCGGCCGCCGAGGAGGGCGCGTGCGGCGGGCTGGCGCGCCCCAGGCGCTCCCAGCGCTCGGCGAAGAGCGCCAGGGTCTCCTGGGAGGGTAGCCCTCGGTCGGAAGAAGCACAGGGCAGTTTTTAATACATTGGATTTTAAAAGCATGGGATTTTTAATACATGATTTTTTTCAATACATGCTTATTGAATGCATGATTAATGTATGAATGAATTGATGCATGAACCCATCGCTGTTTTAAATACTGAATCCCTGCATGTTTGATACATGATCCGCAGGCGGAGCATGTATCAAAAACGGCACTGTGCAGTGAACCCGTCTAGTAAGGATGCGCGATAAGGATGCAAGGGCCCTGGACACGCCCATGTCGAATCTTTTCGAGCGGGGCGCGGCCGACGAAGGTGGCGAAGGATGGACCGAGGAGGCAGGGATGCAAGGATACCGTTGGAAAGGTTACCTATCCTTACTATGCGGGTTGACTGTGGGTGAAAACATGACGTAGGAGGGCGTTGAGAGTAGATGGGGTGTCCGACAGCCCCCTGAGGAGGAGGGAATCAGGAGGCAACTACTGGGAGGTCTCCGTCGGAAGGATAAGGAGGATCAAGCCCCTTTGGGAGCAGCGACTCGCGCAGCCCGGCCTCTTCCCCGGCGCCTCCCGCCCGCCTGCCAGAGGCGACGGCGGGGACGCAGCCGGCTGCACGCAGCAGACTTCGTGCTTCGCACACCCATCGCCCTCCTTTGTCCAAGTCTAGAGGCCGCCTCGATGGGGTCCGCGTGGATGGGGTCGGAGGATCGCGACGCATCGCCGCTGCCTCGGCGACGTCGGCGCTGCATCGGCGAGGTCGGCGTGGGGAAACACGGGCTCCACATCGAGCCGCATCACCGATGCATCGGCGACGCGGCGCGATCCTTCGACCCCATCTACTCGGACCCCATCTGGGAGGCCTAGAGAGTCGCCACCCCCCAATCCCCGAGATCTCGCGTCCCGCCCCCAAGCTTGCAGACACGGTAAGACAGCGCGGCGGGGAGCCCTAATGAGGCCCCGTCTGGCTGCAGCAGCTTTCGGGCCAGCTCGACCTGCGATGGCCTGGGGGCCCAGAATTAGGCCGGGCGTGTCCTCCTACAGGCGGATTCTGGGCGAAACAGGGAAAACAGCCAAAAACGATTCGAACAGAATCGCAGGTTCTGAAGAAATCGCACCCATCTGATTTGTTGTGTGTGTTTGGGGGTACTCCTCCTGTGGAGGGGCATGCCCGACTTCAGCCCAGGAGCCTGGCGAGAGCGCCCGCGCGAAAATGGAAAAACAAAAAAAACACTGCGCCATCGGGACCTCGGGGCTCGCGCCCGACCCGATCCTCCATGCCCAGGCCCATGGCGCGGCTCTCCGCCACCACCTTAGGGTAACAAGGAATATGGCGACGCCAGCACCACCAGGGCGAGAGTAGATGCGAGGAGGCAAGGGTTGAGCAGGGACCGACCGTCCCGGCATTCCTATAGCCCTACCACGATATGTTTTCAAAACCTAAAAATGTTTTAAGAACACAAGCAATGTTCTTAGAACATTAAAACGATGTGTTAAAACAAGACAGTCCCAACGAGAAATGTTCTAAGGACATTTCGTGGGAACCACAAAAGGTTCTTAGAGCATTGTTTGGTAGGGCTAATACGCCACTGCTTGTGAAAGGGGGGTCTTCCTGGTGGTGTGGTCCCCAATCTCGCCCGAGACATCCTCGGCCTCCAGCACGGGGAGTCATCGCGGGGCCTCCTCGCTGGAGGTGGGCCCCTCTGGCGGTGCTGGTGCCGCTCCTGCCTCCGACCGCCTGGGCCACGCAACGGACGGCGCCCGCCGGCCGGCGGCCGGCGGCTGCTTCTTGGAGGGGGGGGGACTCCTCGGCGCCTTGCTGGGGGGCCCTCGCCGCTGCGGCCGGGCACGGCTCGAAGCCCCTGGAGGGGCCCTCGCCGCTGCGGCCGGGCAGGGCTCGAAGCCCTGTCCACGAGGTCCGAGCGCCCCGGACCAGAGTCCGCTCGAATGGGTGGCAATGGGGGGCAGCCCACAGGGGGGGTGAAGCAAGGGGCCCTTAAGGGGCCCTTTGGGGCCCCTTTTGGAGCCAGCTGGTGCCCAAAGGGGGCCCCAAAAGGCCCCTTTAGGGCCCCTTTCGTCCACCACCCCCCTCGAGTCCCCCGCCATTGCCACCCGCACGATCGAAGCCAACCCTCCATGCGAGGCGGGAATTTACCCATATCCACCGCCTGGGAACAGACGCCCAGGTGCCCCAGCAGGCGGTGGATCTGGATGTATTTCAGCCCGCAGGCCCGAATCTGTCCATATCCACCACCTGCCGAGCTCCCCGACAATCGATCCTCTAGGCGGTGGTCATGTATAAATTCCCGCCTCGGACTCCATGCCCGGTTCACCACCTGCAGCGTTCAGGCGGGAGCAGTCAAACCCACTGGTGCAGTCGCAGATCGTGGAGTTATCCAGCGGGGGGGGGGGGGAGCGGGCTCCGTCCCGGGCGCCTGACCCCCTAGCAACAAAGGACAGGCCAGCAACAACTACACGCAGGCAGCACGACCGGCAGCACAACGAAACCGCGACCCCCCCCCAGGTGGTCCACTCTGGGAGCCCCGGTTCGCGCCGCGCCCAGTCGTGGCCAGGAGCGCCCCCAGACACTCCCAGACGCCTGCAAGGCGAAGGCGGCGATCTTCTCGTGCCCGCAGGGGCACCTGGCTGAGCAGGGGGTAGCACGCCGAGGGGAAGGCCTTTCGCAGCGCCGTCAGCTTCCTGAGCGGGGGGGCGCGTCCCTGCACGCGGCCGCCCGTCGGCGGCGGCATGGCCCGCCTCGCCGCGGCCCAGACGGCCTGAACCATGCGCCTGGGCTCATAAGGCTACGGTGTGGACGCGGCTGGTAGACCAGCCTGCGGCCGAAACGAAAATGAGGCGCGGCCAGATGAGACTCACCGATGAGAAGTCGTGCCGGCCGTGAGAGCTTGTCTAACAGCATGAGTCACGCATGTACAATCTTTGAGGTTTCACAACGCTCAAAGCTGCCCAGGAGGCCCACATCATCGCCCAATGACGGCCCAACACGCCCCCAAGATGAGCCCAAGACAACCCCAGAGCTGAAAGACAGCCCAAAATGCTCCACGAGACGGCCCCAGAGGCTCCCAAAAGACCCCTCGAGCGGTGTCTGAGCTGCCATGTCCGACCCTTTCCCACGAGACCGCCAGCAGGGCCTCAAGAAGCTCCTAGAAACCCTAAACTACTTGCCCAAAGAAGCCCCAAAGAGGCACCCAAGAACCCTCCCAAGAAACCCCCGAGAGGCATTCGAAGGACCCCAAGAAGCCTTGTCGAAAACCACGTTTGGCCCAAAGCCCCAAGAAACCTTCGAGAGGCCTCATCCTTGTCCTCCTCCTCCACTCCTCCTCCTCCCTTCCTCCTCCCCGGACCTGGCGGGCGCCAGCCTGGAAGACGACGGCCGCGGCGCCCTCTCGAGGACCGAGCACGGGCCATTCGCGGATCGACGCGTCGGGGCGGAGGCTTGTCTCAATTTTCGGCCTATGGGGGCCACTCCTGGGCCCCAGGGCCGTCAAAAACGACGTGGGATGAAAAACCAGCCGTGGGGAAGGGGTCGGGACTTTTGGGGAGCCCGTGCTGGAAGGCGGGGGTTCCGACCACCCCCGATTGAAACACAGAATGCGTGCTCAAAGCGCTTTTCCGTGCTTTTGAGAGAGCGTGATCCACCGCCGCTTTACTGTGGAAAATTGCCGCTCTTTTCCTCCGGAACCCGGGGGTCACCCCCCCCCTCCAAAAATTCCCCCCCCCCCTGCTGGACCCCCCCCCCCTCCCCCGGCAAAACCCCCCCCTCCCCTAACCCCTCCCCTCCCCCTCGAAAGCCGGGGAGGGTCACTACCGGTTCGAACCCCCCCCCCCCTCGAAAACCAGGAGGGGGGGTCACTACCGGTTCGAACCCCTCCCCACCCCCCCTCTCACCGCCAGCAAACGACTCCCGGTCCCTACCACCGTCCTCACCACATCCCCCACTGTTGTTCCCAGCACCACTCACCACCACTGTCCCCACTGGTTCCACCACCGCCCCTACTGTCCCCACCAGTGCCACCACCACTGTCGCACTGTCCCCACTGTCCCCACCACTGTTCCCACCACGGTTCCACTCTCCCAACTTTCTCCACGGCCCCAACCACTGCCCGACTATCCCCACTGTCCCCACTGTCCCACTGACTCCTCCGCTGTCCCACTGAGCTGTCCCACTGTTCCCACCACTGTCCCCACTGTCCCCACCACTGTCCCCACTGTACCTCTGTCCCATTGTCCCACCGCCGTCCTCGCCACCGCCTTCACCACTGTCCCCACCACCACACCACTGTACCCTCCACTGTCCTACTACTGTTTCCACCACATTCCCACTGTCACCCACACCACTGTCCCCACCACCACCGTCCCCACCACTGTCCCACTGTCCCCACTGTTTCCACCATTGTCCTCACCATTGTCCCCACCACTACCGTCCCCACCACTGTCCCACTGTCCCCACCACTGTCCCGCTGTCCCCTCACCACTGTCCCCACCACCACCGTCCCCACCACTGTCCGCACCCCCCCTCGGTTTTCGAAGGGGGGGGGGGTTCGAACCGGTAGTGACCCCCCCGGTTTTCGAGTTCGAGGAGGGGGAGAGGGTTCTAACCGGTAGTGACCCCCCCCTTTTCATGATGAACTGGGGGGGGGGGGGAAGGGGTTCGAACCGGTAATGACCCCCGGTTTTCCGGAGGGGGGGGGAGGGGTTCGAACCGGTAGTGACCCCCCCGGTTTTCCGCCACCAGCGGTAGAACACGCTCTTTCGTGCTTTTCGGCCGAAGTCGGTCTCAGGAGCTCTCGAGGACCGAAAACGGACCATTCACGAATCGACGTGTCAGGGTGGGGGGCCTGACCACCCCCGATTGAAACACCAAATGCGTGCTCAAAGCGCCGTGCCGTGCTTTTCGGCCGAAGTCGGTCTCAGGAGCCTCCTCTCGGTGACCCCCTGGGAGGGACCCCAACAGGAGGACCACGGTGACTGGCCTTATGTCGGGCGTGTCCCCCTACAGGGGGACTTTCGACGAAAAATAAAAAAACTCCAAAAATACAGCAAAAGGGTTAAAAACTACTCCAAAAATAGTCCCCAGATTATTTTTTGATTATTTTGGACTATTTGTGGGGTATTTTTATTGTTCGTCGAAAATCCCCCTGTAGGGGGACTGGCCCGACTTAAGACTGGCAAGACGCTAGAAGATCCGCTCGCGGAAGGCGCAGGCTGTCCTGCTGCCGGTGACGAAAGGTGGAAACAAGCTTGAAGGTGCCCCAGGACACACACATACATACACACAAATAGAACGATTCCCCATAGTTTCCCATATTGTCTGGGTTTTTGTCTTCCCCCCACGTCCCATATTTTCCTATATTTTCTGGGGGATCGACGATGAATTGTGTCTGTGTGTTTTTCCCCCCTGAAAGCTGAAGGGGGGATGCCACTGCGCACGGAGAAGGAGGCAGAGGGCAACCTTGACGAGCATCGGGGGATTCCTGCCTCAACAGCCTGGGCCTGGTTCCTGGCACTGCGTGGGCAGATCGATCCTGGACGATCTCCACTCTGAGAGGCTCCCAAACGCTGGCGACCTCATCTTTCGTACCAATCTCGAGTCGTGGATTGCTAGATGTGGGCCCACAGAGAGCGCTCAATCTTGCACGTCCGTGTCGCCGTCGTTGCCGCGATGAGGCGGCACGAACCTGCCCCACTACGTCCTTGCTACTGGAGGTCCCACGAGCTTGGCTGTATCTACTACCGCAGGTTATTGGCCTGGCTGCATGTATTACGACTGGCACCTCCGTAGAGTCGAGACACCTGCTTTGAGCACGTGCTACAAACAGGATCAAGACAAACGAGCTCCACTGTGAAGCAGCGTAGCTGACCAGAAATCCCCCGAGGAGCGCACTTGGGCGAAAACAGGCAGGATAACCCACACGTGCACACACACACACACACACACGCGCGCGCACACACACACACAAACACACACACACACACACGCGCGCGCACACACGCGCACACACACACAAACGCACACACAACAAATACATACATATTATATATCTATACATATATACACACACGCGGAGCAACAACTGCAACAACAGGAAGTGCCCACCGGGCACCTGCTGAACCTCGCAGGGGGTCGCCTGCCGGCAAAAGTCCCTGAGTTGCCGGAAGTAGTCGTAGAACGGGTGCTTCCACGTCACCTCAGAGGAAGGGGCCAGGTCTTCAGCCCTTCCTGTGGCGAGGACCCCCATGTCAGGAGTTAAGGGGCATGAATACAAACCTAAACATAAAAACTCGGAGGTCCGCGCGGATTTCTCAAATCGGCGCTGGGGCCCCCTCTCTGGCGCGCGGAGCGCGCCAGGGGCGGCGCCAGGGGCGCCGCAAGGGGGCCCCAGCGGCGATCCGAGAAGTCCGCGCGGACAACCGAGTTGTTATGTTTATGTCATTACACGTCGGTCCGAAGAAGTAGGTAAAAGCATGAAGTAGAAGGCGGAGTAAGTTGATCGGGTCCAGGACCTTCCAGGGAATAACAGAACACAGCAAAAGCGTGCCGATTCTTGAAGTTGGCAGGCGCTTGTGAAGTAGATTGGGATCTGGGCAACCAAAAATGTTTACTTGCAGCGACCGGCGTGTATTCGTTCCCCTAGGATTAGATCGGGCCTGTCCCCCTACAGGGGAAATTTTCGACGAAAAAAATACGCCAAAAATATTCAAAACATACTCCAAACATAATCTGGGGACTATTTTTTGAATATTGTTTCACCTTTTTGGTGCATTTTTGGTCTATTTATCCCCACATCCAAAGTGGGGTTCTTGTTTTCTCTGGACCCCCCGCGAAGGAACGAGAACCAGAACACACCTACATCATCGCCCACTCATCACTCATCATCATCATCTTCATCATCATCATCATCATCATCATCATCAGCATCAGCATCAGCATCAGCATCAGCATCATCATCATCATCATCATCATCATCATTCTCATCATTATCATCATTCTCATCATTCTCATCATCATCAACGTTATCGTCATGCGATCACCCACCATCATCATCACCATCAGCATCATCATCATCATCATCATCATCATCATCATCACTCATCATCATCAGCATAATCCCCTTCGTCACCCACTCACTCACCCATCACTTCGTCATCACTCACTTGTCTGTGAGTGAATTGAAAAGAAGTCTCAGGCGGGAGCCTCGTCTGTGAGTGAATTGCGAGGAAGTCTCAGGCGGGAGCCCCCTCCCTATGGGGCCCGCAGATCATATTACTAATCCGAATGGGTCATCCGCAACGTTTAACTGTCGTCGGTTTTGGGCTCCTCGGGCTTTGAATATGGAGGAAGTATCGAGCGGGGGCCTCGTCTGTGAGTGAATTGCGAGGAAGTCTGAGGCGGAAGCTCCTCCTTATGGGGCCCGCAGATCATGTTACGAATTCGAGCGGGTCATCCGCAACGTGTAGCTGTCGTCATTTTTGGGCCCCTCTGGCCTGAATATGGAGGAAGTATCGAGCGGGAGCCTCGTCTGTGAGTGAATTGCGAAGAAGTCTCAGGCAGGAGCCCCTCCTTATGGGACCCGCAGATCATGTTACTAATCCGAGCGGGTCATCCGCAACGTGTAACTGTCGTCACTTTTGAGCGTTTCAGGCTTGAAAATGAAGGAAGTATCGAGCGGGACCCTCGTCTGTGACTACATTGCGAGGACATCTCAGGCGGGAGCCCCCTCCTCATGGGACCCGCGGACCATTGTACTAATCCGAGCGGGTCATCCGCAACGTGTAACTGTCGTCATTTTTTGGCCGAATCGGGGGCAAGGGTAACCCCTTGTGTCCGGGCTGGCGGTGGTAACCCATCGTCAGCCGAATCGGGCGCAGGGGGGAACCCTTGCGTCCGGGCCGGGGGTGGTAACCCATCCTCGGCCGAATTGGGGGCACTGGTAACCCCTTGTCTCCGGGCTGGCGGGGGCAACCCATCGTCAGCCGAATCCGTCCCACTGCTGCTGGACCATATTCATCAAGAAAGGCATGTTCCTGGCGGCGGAGGCGTGGCGACGCGAGTACGGGCGCTCTCTCCGGCACAAGGCCAAGCAGGACGGGGGCCGCGCCCCTGTTCAGTACCACGGACGCGGCGTCGACCCGTACACGCTCGAGGGGTGGCGCGAGGAAAAGGACGACGACGGGCAGGCGGTGTACGTGAGCCCGGAAGGCCAGCGCTTCCCGGATATGTTGACGGCCTACGAGCACGACGTCGCGACCAAGGCGGCGCGCGACGCGCCCGATCATCGCCACGTGGTGTCGTTCCTGGCGAAGCACGACATGGGCTGCGAGAGCGAAGAGGCCCCGAGGACGGGGGACGGCTTCCGCATCGTGAGGACCACGAGCACTCTGGACGACTGGCTGCACCGCGGCGACGACCCGGCCCTCAAGCACATGAGTCTGCAGGCGTACGCCATGTGGGTCTACCGTTGCGAGAATCCCGACGGCCTGTGGAGAGACAAGACCCGCGCGCGGCACCTGGACTTCGACTTCGCTCCGCACTACGCGCTGTACGCGACCCACAAGCAGCGGCTGGCCCCCGAGCTCCGCGTGCCCCTCTTCGGGGGCTTCACCATGCCGACGATGAACAAAGACTGCGAGACCGCCTGTCTGTTCAAGCAGTTGCTCCTGAGGCCGTTGGAGGTGGAGAACTCGGAGACGCCGGAGGACGAGCGCATGCTGCAGGCGCTCGCGCCCCTGATTGGGCGCACTACGAGGCTCAGGCGGACGCGGAGGCCCGCGTCGCCGCGGCCCGTTTCCTCGCGCGGCACGATTGGCCGTCGATCTGGGAGACACAGGAGGTGCAGGAGGAACTCTTCGCGCTGCACCAGGCGCGGGCGGAGGGTAAGGACGAGGAGGACGACTCGCTGGACCCCGCCCACTGCCCCGACAGAGAGAAACCCAGGGCGACGGTGCACCAGTACGTCTCCATGATAGCCATGCAGGTGGCGCCCAACCTCGAGGGAATCGCCCTGGCGCGCGAGGAGAAGAAACCCCGGCAGTACCAGAGCGACGCGGCCGTGCAGAGCGCGCACCTCACGGCGACCACTGGTGGGGGCGCCGGTCAAGACGAGGGCGCCGAGGCGGGCGAGGGTAGAGCACCCAGGCGCGCCCCCCTTGGCGGTCCGAGCGCCCTTCCAGCCGGTCCCGACGCGGGGCATCGACGGGGAGCAGGACATGGCGGACGTGCTGAACTTCGCGCACCGCAAGCGCCTCACGAGGTTGGCCAAGGAGCTCCTCGCGCCCCCGTGCATGTCCGAAGCGGCCCGCGAAGGCGCGGGTGCGCCCGAGCCGACGGAGGCCGCGACCGTTCCCGCGCCCGCGACCGGGTACCGACCTCTGGTGACCGCAACGCGCGAGGAGAGACACGCCCGGGCAAACCTGCACGACGAACGCCTCCAGGGCAAACGCGACGAGGACGACGCAGGCGCTCCGGACGGCGAGGGCGAGGGCGCAGGCGGCCTGGGCGGCGGCCCCGCTGCGGCCACTTTTGCCAGCAGCGTGTACTCCACGCCGAGCGCGTACATCGCCGCCCTGGTCGCTGGGTTGCTGGAGATCGAGAGACTCACGCGGGGCCGGACGCCGTTCGTCGCCAAGTTCGCAAGGCCTGCGACGACGCCTGGGAGGACGACGTGCAGAAGAAGCCCTGGAGCGAGAGAACAGTGACGCACTTGCTCCTGTTGGGCCAGGGCTGCTCGGGGAAGACGCACGTGGTGCAGAAGATCGTCTTCCCGGTGGTGGAGTATGTGCGGCCCTTGTCGGCGCAGGACAAAGGCGCCGTAATGGTCGTGGCCTTCTCGAACGCGCAGGCGAAGAACATCTCCACGGAGACTGTGAAGGCTAGGACGCTACACAGCGCCTGCGCCCTGCGAGTCCAGAAGCACATCAACGCGAAGATGAGGCCGGGGGGCATGCAAAAGAGGCTGAAGTGGTTGTGGGAGCACGTCCGCGTACTTGTCATCGAGGAGGTGAGCATGGTGGCGGCTGCTCTGTACAACGCGCTGGACCTTCGCGCTTGCCACGGACGCAGTGACACGCATGACGTGCAGGAATCCACCTACAAAAGGCCGCACCACCACTTCGGCCGTGTCCCCATCGTGCTGCACCTCGGCGACTTCCTGCAGCTGAAGCCCACCGGCAGCATCGGCCTCTTAGCGGACCCCAACGAGCTCCGGGAAGACGGCTCGTACAAGTACAAGGAGCCGCCGACGTTGGAGATTCAGCACGCCATCAACGTCTTCAAACACATCCCCTGCGTCTTCGAGCTGAAAGGCACGGAGCGCTTCGAGCCGGGGGACCCTCTGATCACGCTCTTGGGTTGCACGCGCGAGGGCAAGCGCTTCCCACCAGAGGTCTGGTCTGCCTGGGAGAAGACATTGGCCTCGGACGACCGCCGCCCCCGCTACCTACCGCAGTGGATCTCGCTGCAGGTGCACGGCTTCCAGGAGTCCCCGATCTACAAGGAGGTCGCCGAAGTGCTGCAGCAGCGCGCCGATGGCGCTGACGACGACGGCGAGGCCGAGGCGCGGGCGAGGAGCTTGCTCATGTTCAGGCCCAGCGAGCAGGAGCTCACGTGGCAGAGCTCGGGGGCGCACGCTGCGCGCCGCTCGGGGTTCACGCTGACGCACGCGTCCTACCTGACCCCCACGTTGTCGCAGGGCCAGACGCTGAGCAAGGGCGTCACCATCGACTGCGCCAGGGATGAGGACGCTGGCCGCACGGGCATGTCGGACGAGCAGTGGTGGCTGCACCTCTACGACATGTTCTCCCGCGCCAGGTGCATGCGAAACATGCTGATCCTGCGGCCGCCCGCGCGGGAGTTCCTGGAGCGCGGGCCGCCGGCGTCCCTGCGGAAGGCGTTCCAGGAGTTCGACAAGAG